GCCCTGCATCGGCCTCTCTGCTCAGCGGGGAGCCTGCTGCTCTCTCTCTGTCAAATAAATAAATACAATCTTAAAAATAAAATAAAGTAAAATGGCTTTTTAAAAAAAAAAAACTTATGTATTGAATATAATGATCAGAATGGTTACATACAATTCTAGCATCTTATTATTATTTTTTTTATTTGTCCCATTTGTTGTTCTTTTCTTTCCTCTGCCTCTGCCTTCTATTGGATGTGTTGAGTGTTTTTAAGTTTTGCATTTTATCTCTGCTATTGGTTGTACTGTTTTATAATTTAGTGTATCTCCTAGGGTTTTTAACATATATCTTAGTTTACCATAGCCTCTATTCATGTACATTATGTCCCTTAACATAAAGAATATTATGAAAGCATATTTTCATTTCTGTCTTCCATCTTTTGTGCTGTTTTTGTGATACACACATTTCCCCTCTGCCTCTGTAGTGAACCCCATTACCTGTTGTTCTTATATGTACTTTACATGGTCAGTTATCTTTTATAGAAATGAAAAGATGAGAAAACAAAGGAAAAAAATCCCTTTATTTCCCCTGCAAATTTGGTTCCTCTGGTGCCCCTTATTTCTTTGTACAGATCCCAGTTTGCATCTGTATTATTTTCTTTAGCCCCAGAAACTTCCTTTGTCATTACCTCCCCTGGAGGTCTGCAGGAGAAGAATTGTCTCAGCTTTTACCTGAAAAAGGGTTTCTCCTTCATTGTGGTAGGACATTTCACCAGTAATGGAATTCTACGTTGAGATTCTTTTCCCCTCGAGACTTTAAAGGTGTTATTTGATGGTCTTGTGCTCGCATTATTTCTAACTGGGGATCTTTCAGTCCTACTCAATATGTGTTGCCCTGTATACATTATGCCCGTTTTCCATCTATTTTAAAATGCTGCTCCTTATTATTGATTTTAGCACTTTAATGATGACATACTTTGATATGGTTTTCTTTGTGTATTTGGATATATTGAACTTACATCTGTGTGTTTACAGTTTTAATCAAATTTGGGAAAGTTTCTACCACGTTCTTTTCAACTGTGTTTTCTGTTCTTCTTCTGGGACTCCAACTGCAATTGCTGTTGTCCCACAGTTCACCGATTCTCCATTCCTTGTTTTTTTTTTTTTTGTCTCTGTTCTTCATGGCACATAGTTTTGTTTTCTTTTTTTAAGATTTTATTTATTCATTTGAGAGAAAGAGAGAGAGAGCATGAGTCAGGGGGAGGGGCAGAGGGAAAGGGACAAGCCCAAGGACGTTGGACTCCATCCCAGGACCCTGGAATCATGATCTGACCAAAGACAGATGTTTAACCGACTGAACCACCCAGGTGCCCCACAGCACATAGTTTTTATTACTACGTTTTCAAATTGAGCATTCTTTTCTTCTGCATTATATAGTCTGCTCTTAATCCCATTCAGTGAATTTTCTTTTCAGGTATTGTATTTTTCAACTTGTATTTTTCAGTATTCTACTTGGTTCCTTATAGCATCTTCCCTTTTCTCTCATCATATTCATGTTTTCCTTTAAAATTTGTCTCCTTATAACTATTTTAAAGTCCCTGCCACTTCCTGTCTTTCATTTCTGTTTGTTTCTGTTGATTGGCTTTTTTCTTCTGGTTGCAGATCACGTGTACCTGCTTCTTCACACGTCTAGTAATTTTTTATTGGGTGCTGGATATTTTGATTCTTACAGTTCTCTATGTTTGGATTTTGCTGTTTTCCTTTTAAAGCATTAAACCTTGTCTTATATAGGCAGTTAAGTGAATCAATTTGATCTTTTGGAAGGTTATTTTTTAGGCTTTTTTTTTAATTCTTTAAAATTTTTTTTTTTATTTGAGAGACAGTAAGAGAGAGCACTCAAGCAGGGTGAGGAGCAGAGAGAGAAGCAGGCTCCCTGCTGAGTAGGGACCCCTCCCACCCCTACCCCCTCTACATGGGGCTCGATCCCAGGACTCCAGGATCACAACCTGAGCCGAAGGCAAACACTTAACCAGCTGAGCCACCCAGGCACTCCCTTTTTAGCTTTATTAAGATGGTTCTAAAGTAGTCTTACTGTAGAGCTATTAAGCCCTTCTGCTATGGCTTTAATGCTTCTGCTGTTTCTACAGAATGCCCTGGACGTTCAGTTCACATCACTGTCCAGTTAGAACTTGAGTATCTCTGTGCACTGAATGTGCAGCTTCCTACTCAGCATCAGACTCCAGGGGAATCTCTATTATTATTCTCTGCTTAATGCCCTCTCTGACCGTGCCCCCAAATTTTAGCTGCCTCAGCCTCCCCAATTCCTATGTCTGTCTTCTAACCTCAGTGAGATCACCATGCTCTACTTGGTTACTTCCTTCCTGCTCAGCAGCCTGGGAAATGCCTCCCTTTCAGCTCCAGGGATCATTATGGGGTTACCTTATTTGTTTCCTTACTCTTAAGGATCACACTTTTATGATGCCCTTTCTCAGATGACCAGAAACATTGTTTCTACATATTTTGTCCAGTTTTCCACTTTTTCAGTGTGGGAAAAATTGTTTCTAGTATATTTATTTCATTGTGGGCAGAAGTGGAAGTCCTTCCACATACTGATTTATGTATTTTAGATATTATGTATGAAACAGATGAATTCATTTTAATTTTAAAAATCCAAGAGTATTATAAATAGAATAAAATATGGTAGTCCCCTTACCTCTCCCATCTTATTTCGTGTCACTCAACAGAGAAACCACTTTTAGAAGTTTGATGTGCATCCTTCTGTTTTCCTTTATGTACTTATTATATCCATTTATATACACATGTTCATGCAAATGAGAGGTAGACATATTTTTAAAAGTAAGTAAAGCAGTTCTGTAACTATTATTCTGCAATATACTTTTTCACTTGATAACGTCTTGGAGATGGAGATCTTGTTATTAAAATATATATCAATTTTTATTTTTCTAATATTAGCCATATATCCTACAGAATGGTTTTCCTCTAATTTATTTAATCACTCTACTCTTCAGTCATTAAGGTTTTTCCTTCTAACTTTATGCTGTGGTATTTCTGTAGGAGAAATCACAAAGTTTTCAAAGAGTCTGTCTATAAATTGCCTTTCTAAACAGTTTTTACATGTTTATATTACTCCTAACTAGTAGGAACCAGGCTCTTTGAAGAAATCATTGATTCTAGATCTAGAACAAGAAATGTAAGAGATAAGTCTAGAATATCTTATCACAGCAGAAAGCAAGGGAGGTAAGCAAGATTACTGTGATGGCGTGAAAAGATACAGAATGCCCTTTGAAGGGACTGCCATTAGTCAGAGATGGGACAGTTCACCAAGCAAAGAACTGCCGACTGAAAAACATTAAGTATGTTTAACAGCCAAGAAACATAAAGATGCCAACCAAACCAAACCCCAAACCACATTGCTCACCTTGGAAGGGAGCTAGGGGATGGCATTCTTGAGTACTGGTAAGGAGAAGAATTGTGTAGTTACCTTCCTCTAACTGTATGACCCTATTTCAAAGTAACCAAGTAATTAATGAGAGTCATTTCTTTTTATTTATTTATTTATTTGAGAGAAAGAGAGAGCACGAGTGGGGGGGGGAGGCAGCTGAGGGAGAAGCAGACTCCCCTCTCAGCAGGGAGCCCAATGTGGGGCTCCATCCCAGGACCCTGAGATCATGCCCTGAGCCCAAGACAGATCCTTAACCTACTGAGTCATCCAGGCGCCCCGAGGGGAATTTCTTTATAGAAATCTACTAATAAATGAAGAAGGAATAACAGAACAGAATCAGTCTACCAAAGTTATAACCTATATTAATTAATTGAAATACAAGCCCTAGAAAGTGATCATCAGTGGCTACTAATAATCTCAGGGAAGGCACGAAGACGATGCATTCTGAGAAGAGGGTGGTAGCTGACAACACCGGACCCCACCGATGATATGTTAACACTGAAGAAGGAGAGACCCCCAGCTGTCATACGGCAACCAATATGGCAGCTCTCCAAGAATCGAACCTGTTCAAGGCCCTCGATCTAACTCCCTGTTTATAGGACAAACAAGAGATAGAGGAACTTAGTAAATGACATCTCAGGGAAGCTATCATCCAAGTCTAGAAATTCTAGAAATTCTATAAGATAAATACTCCTTGTTTCTTCAGTAAGTAATAGTCAAGAAATAAAAAGGATGGGAAGCTTTTAGAGATTAAAAGAGAAAGGTAGGAAATCTCACCCAAATGTAATACACAGACCTTGTTTGGATCCTGGTTTGAACAGACCAGCTCTAAGGACACATTGGAATCATCAGATATAATGATGCCTGGATTCTAGATGCTATCCTGGAATTGTGAATGTTCTATATGTGATATTTGTGTTGTGTTCCTGTTAAAAAATAGTCCCTCTCTCTTACTTACCAGTGAAATGTTAGAATCTGTGCACTTGCTTTTAAATCATCCTGTAAGGGCTTAAAAGGGGAGCGTTGGTGGCAAATATGTATGTTGGATGATGAGTACAGGGGGTTATTATAGTATTTTTTCTACGTTTGCGTGGGTGAAATTTTCCATTATTAATTTTTTGTTTTATTTTTAAATTTATTTTTAAGAAGTCATCTCTGTGCCCTACGTGGGGCTCCCAGCTCATGACCCCGAGAACAAGCATCCTGACTGAGCCAGCCAGGCAGCCCCTGAATTTTTTAAATTGGAAAATAAACTTAGCAGTAACAGACCAGGTGAAGAGAGCTTCATAAATCATTAGGATAAGTGAGGAGCTTTGCAAAGTTTCACCCTAAATATTTGGAGTATGTCTGTACCTACACACCTGCAGAAAAGGTATCCGCAAACGGCAGAGAATTTATTCAGCGTGCTTGCTACTGTCGATCTGAGCCCCCCATGTGCTTATCTTGAAATGCGCATGAGTCTCACCGTTTCCAACATCCTAGAGAGATCTTTGCGGCAAAGCTAACGCCGTGTGTTGGGTCAGACTGGCTTCTCACTGCGATCCTAATATCTGTTTTCCAGGTACAGCAGGTGCAGACTGTGCAGCAGGTCCAGCATGTCTACCCAGCTCAGGTGCAGTATGTGGAAGGAAGCGATACTGTCTATACCAACGGAGCGATGTAAGTCGATACGTGGGAGTCGTTTTCATTTCCCCCAACAAAGTCAGAGGGAAACACTGGGTTTGCCGACACATCCTGCTATTCCCAGATTGTTTCCTTGTTTTCATGGTAATTTTTTTTTTTTTTAATTTTGTTAACCAGATCAGAGTTACTGGAATGAGGCTTCTGTGTAGAGATTGTCTAGGTTTGTGACAAATGGGCACTGATCTCCACCTTAGTGGAATACTTTAAATTATGAAAACTATTATGCTTTTTAAGGGTTTTCACTAGGTTGAGAAAAATGTATACCCCTTGTTGGTGATTTCTATATCTTATTAATACCCTATAAACCCTGTGCTTTTTGTTTTTATAAATAAGATGAATTTGTGTGTGTCTTTGTCTGTGAACTACCACAAAACTAGTACATTTGTTCCTTTTGGCATTTCCTGAATGAAGTTTCGTGTCCGTAAGAGTACCTGATCTCCAATCTTAATTTCCTGCTGAACTTGCCTTCCCCCTGCCCCAACTCATCACCTCCGCAGCAACAATGTAAATTTGTAGAGTTATACCAGGTGTGTTTTTTAGCCACTTTGGATGCAATAAGATTGGGGATGTTATAAGAGACTAAGAACTATTACAGGTCACCATGATTGTTTTCATTTGACCATGTGAGGTTTTGCTTGTGATCTGCTGGGTCTCCGAGTTTACCGGAAATGAATTCAAATTCTCTCATTCTCTTCTGCCCACCACCTCCCTTCAGCGCTGGTGTGCCCCAGGTCCGTATGTTCTGCTTTATCCTTACTGCACCTTCTCTCTCCTTGGGCAGTGTCATAGAGTCCCGTGATCTCAACCTGTCACCTCCATGAGGGCTGGAATTCTTGTCTCTCGCTATAAGTCTAACACCAGAAGAGTGCATGACACACAGTCAAAGTTCAGTTGTGGTTACCTATTGTTATTATAACTAAGCCCTTTGGAATCCTCCCTTAACTCTGCACGAGTTTTATTGTCCTGATTAAGATACTTAACTATTTTGAGCTTTTGATGATTCTTTCCTGGGAAGTGGGAGGACGATGATCTCACTCTTATTAGGCTGTTGTGAGGATTTGAGGAAATATCTTTTCAGCAATTCATGCAGGGCCTGGGAGACGTAGCTGGCACCAGACTGAAAGCTCCTCCCTCGTCCTGACCCTTCCCTCCTTTCTCATTGCCTTCGGTCACTGAATCCATCTACATTCCCACTGCCTTAAAACCTCCATTACCTATAGAATACAATTCACCTCCCCACCTTGGCATTCACCCGCTTCCTACCTCTCCAGCTTCATTTTCCACTGTTCTAAGAACAACCAACTTTGTACGGGTTTCCCCAAATACTGCCCTTTTGTGCCTGTTTTTTGGACGTGTGGTTTTCTCTGCCTTCCCAGTTCCTTACACCGTGCCTCGTGGGATCTCTGTAGACCGCACTCCCTTGTCTCCCCGCCTTGTGCCATGGACCCTTGGCTCTCTAGTGTGGTTAATTTGCCCTTCCCCTGTAGGATAAGGACAGCACTGGACCCTGACCTTCACTTCCAGCGTGGTGCTGTGAATGCTTACTCTTACATCTCTTACTAGCAAGAGAACATCATTCTCTTGTTTTATTTACAGCGAGTTAGGAGACTGGCACACAGTAAAGGGCCAATGAGTTTCTGTTGCTCCAGTGAATCCAAAACTCTTTACATATGTTCAACACATTCTGAATGTTTTGTTACCTGTTTGTTGTGTAGGACCGGGGCCTCCTGGAGTCTGCTTTTAGAATCTCTACCATAAACCCATACTACGGTTGGCATTTACACACAAAAAATAGATCCACCTGCCACTTGGAGTGGCATACTATCAAGGAAAACATAATGGGTTTCTAGATGCTGCTAGAGATCACTCAGTTATATTGTCATTTCATCCTTGCCTGTGGTTTCTCCGTCACGAGAGCCCCGGAGTAAAGCCATTATATACTCTGCCTTTGCTCAAGCGTGTGCCATCTCCTACCTGGTTTTTCTTCCCGTTTAAAGGCATCCTAGACAAAGCCTGAACAATTCAGCCCCCTGCAGCGGAGGGCTGAGTTACCACTCTACTGTCTGTTACTGTAGCATTTCGTCTTACGTGTATTACGTATATTACAGCATTTCGTCTTACGTGTATTCTATCAGCAGAGAATCCCAGAAAATCTGACAAATAGAAGTTTGAACAAAGTAGAGCTTTTATTTTTTCAGGTCACAAGAAGCCCAGAGGTTGCATGTTGTGCAAATCATTAGTACTCCATGGTGCAAATGTAAAATCAGCCTTCTTAGAGAAAACCTTACAAGCCAACATACAGCAGAGGGAGCATAAATGGACTGGCCAAACCATGGAAATGCTCCAGTAGATGAAGTCTTGCCTCACAGAGTTCTGCATATTTCTGGGAACAGGGGCAGTGAGCCTTCGTGGGCTGCATAGTAGGGAAAAATGGCTTTCTTAGAAAGGGAGGAGTGGGTGCCTGTCGTTCTCAGTTCCATCAGCCTCTTCTTCCATCAGGATTAATCAGATCTGCTGAGCCAGGTTGGATCCAAATGACCAAAAGGTAATAGGAAATGAACCTTTAGAAACATCCAGAACCGTGCTTCCTTTACTGACATGGCTTTCACAGCTCAGGGATGTTAGAGCCAAGATTTTCTGATAGGTTGATGAGATGTCTGCTTCGGTTGGAACCATCGTAGCTACATTCCAAATGGGAAGAAGAGGATATGTGTATACATGCAGATATGTGTACACATATGTGTGTATGTGGCCACGAACATGCACACAGAAGCTTTCCCAGATGCCCCCAGCTCCCTTTAGCTTCTCTCTCTTGAGTATAACCACATCACAAGGCAGTGGTTAGCTGCAAGGGGACCTGGAAACGCTGGTCTGTAACTTCCATGTTTACGGTGGAAAGCAGCAGGGGACAAAGGGCATTGGAATGGGTGTTGAGACAGTGTCTATCCTCATCCTTCATCATTGGTCCAAGGCCGGGCAGAGAGATGACTGGTGTGTGACTTTGTCCAAGATATACTGCCTGCTTCACTCTCATTCATCTGTGCCATGGAGGTGGTTAGCTTTTCCAAAAGTGCTTTCTGTAGCATCTTATAAATAGTAAACACTCTGTCAACTTTAGCTATTGCTGTAAAATTACGTACTATAAAAAAAAGATTAAGTACTATAGTTCTTCTTTTGATTATTTCCGGCTCCTTTTGAGGACCTGAATTCTGCCTATTGCCTCGTGCCTTTTTAAACTCTTCGGCCACGGCCCTTGGGGTCTTCCGTACCATAGGCAGATGTGAGATCACTTGCAAAACCTTGGAAAAACAGCATCGCTAAAGTTGACGCTTTAGAATGAGAGAGCCCATTTAAGTACAGAAATGATTCCAAGTAAATATCTCACGTCAACATGTATTTGCTCTGGCTCACAGTGTCTGTGTATTAGATCATGACTAATGAGTTCTAGGTCGTGAGTTCATTTGCCACAAAGTCCAATAAGCTTTGATCCGGTCTGTGTGGGCCTGGATCGTATCCTCATCTCCAGCCGCTGGGGCCACACGTGTGTGGAGAGAAGATACAGCTTCAAAAGCCTTTCATTAAAATTTCCATTCCAGTGCAATTTTTGACCAAAGATCCTGTAGCAGCACGTTCATATTTACTAAAGAAAAACTGTCTTGTCGTGAATTATCCTCACAATTGTGGCAGGTAGAGGACTATGAATACTGATTCTCAAATATAACAAACTTTTTTTTTTTCCCCTGATCTTAAGCTATTTCGATCTTTCTGTGATTTTGGAGGCTGTTATTTGACTCTGTACAATGTTTGTCTCAAAGGTTCACTTGAGAGGTCTTATGTTCCCTCTTTTTTTTTTTTCGTTCCTTTTTTTTAAGATTTTTTTTTTTTAATTTATTTATTTGACAGAGAGAGATCACAAGTAGGCAGAGAGGCAGGCAGAGAGAGAGGGAGAGAGAGAGGAGGAAGCAGGCTCCCTGTTGAGCAGAGAGCCCGATTCAGGACTCTATCCCAGGACCCTGAGATCATGACCTGAGCCGAAGGCAGAGGCTGAGCCACCCAGGCGCCCTGTTCCCTCTTTCTCTTTAATGCACTTCCCTCTGTGTTAGGAAACAGTCCTCCCCATTCTCGAGTCTGGCACGCTGAAGTCTTGTGCTAGCTAATGAGGATCCCTGACCTGGGTCTCAGGGAGATTCCTACTTCTGTGTGATCATCGAGGCTTTTCGCTAATGACACTCCCAGAAGACAAGCTTGCCGGTCTTTATCGTGAACCTTCGAGCACCCGGCATCTGCCCTCACAACCCATTCACGCCTCATCAGTGCTAGTGCGCTGATGCTCCTATCCCCGGCGTCCCCATGCCGTGTCACCAGGATGCACAGGGCCTCCCTCGAGAGGTGGTCATAGCCCTCCCAGAGATGTGTCATCACTTGTGAACATGTGCAGTCATTATAATTGGTTGATACCGGAGTGTTTCCTTGGTTCTCATCATGAGGATGGGCGACTCCTGCAGCCTCACAGGCTGAGACTGATTTCTGGTGCTGGGTGTTCGAGAACAGCTCTCTGTGAGAGGAAGAAGGGAACAGAATTGGCTTTTCCTTCCAGTAGTTTTCCCATGAATCTTTTCCAAAGTCTGGATCATAGACTTGTCTTTTTGGTTTTTTTTTGTTTTTGTTTTTGTTTTTTTGAGAGAGAGAGAGAGAGAGAGAATGAGCAGGGGTAGGAGCAGAGGGAGAGGGAGAAGCAGGCTCCCCGCTGAACAGGGAGCCCAACACGGGTCTTCATCCCTGGACTCCCCGATCATGACCTGAGCCAAAGGCAGATGCTTAACCCACTGAGCCACCCAGGCGCCCCAGTCTTGTCTTTTTCTACAGATTCTTAGAATTTAGGATGGCTGATAATTTAGAATGCTGTAATTAAACAAGCTGGGAAGCACTGCATACCATGGAGACACAGTCCAACGCAATTACTACTTCCTGCAGTA